TCCCTCTCCTTAACTTGATAAAGGGTGTTCCTAGATTCGCAAAATTTTTCAAAGAACTGTGTACAATAAAAAGGAAACATAGACTCAATGGAAAACAAAAAGTCCAAGTTAGTGAACGTGTTTCGGCAGTTTTTCAAAAGAAACTCCCAAAGAAATACAATGATCCGGGCATGTTCACTATACCTTGTAAGTTGGGAGGAACTACGTTTTCAAAAGCCATGCTCGATTTAGGAGCATCAATTAATGTCATTCCTTACTCTTTATACAAATCACTTGAGCTTGGCCCTTTAAATGAAACCAGAGTAGTCATTCAACTTGCGGATAGATCAAATGTCTACCCTAAAGGTATTGTCGAAGACGTACTAGTTATGGTTGACAATTTGATTTTCCCCGCTGACTTTTATGTTTTGGAAATGGAGAATGATAAGAATGCGGTTCCTATCCTTTTAGGAAGGCCATTTTTAAAAACCGCTAGAGCAAAGATTGACGTATTTAGCGGCTCTTTAACAATGGAATTTGATGGAGATAAAGTTGAATTCAACATTTATGACTCCATGAAATATCCAAATGAAAATCATTCTTTATTTGCCATTGATATTGTTGACCCCCTTGTACAAAATACTTTTGAAATCAATAAGAAGGACGAATTGTTAAGTATACTTGAAAATGACTTCGGGGAAAACTCTTCAGAACTTGCCTTGACCCCCAACACACAAGCTATGATAGTGGAATTGGATACTCACTTCCAACTCCCACTTATGCCACCGGGGTCTAGGGCATTTCCACTAACCATCCCCGAGGAAAAGCCTCTACCTTCAGTTTTGCAGGCACCCGACGTTGAGATGAAACCACTCCCAACACATTTGAAATATGTGTTTTTGGGGGAAAAAGAGACACTACCAGTCATTATCTCAAACAAATTGACCGGAGAACAAGAAGGCAAATTGATAGCGGTGCTCAAGCAGCATAAACTAGCAATTGGATGGACTATAGCCGACATCAAAGGCATTAGTCCATCTACTTGCATGCATCGCATCTTAATGGAGGATGAAGCCAAGCCGGTACGACAGCCGCAACGAAGACTAAACCCACCTATGATGGAGGTGGTCAAAAAGGAGGTGATCAAACTACTCCAAATGGGGATAATCTTCCCCATCTCCGACAGCAAATGGGTTAGCCCAACCCAAGTGGTTCCAAAGAAGACCGGGGTCACGGTAGTGGAAAACAAACATGGAGAACTAATGCCCACCCGAATTCAAAATGGATGGAGGGTATGTATAGATTACCGTAGACTCAATGCGGTAACTAGAAAGGATTTCTTTCCTTTACCCTTCATCGACCAAATGCTTGAGAGACTTGCCAGGCATAAGTTCTATTGCTTTCTTGATGGCTACTCCGGGTACTTTCAAATACCTATAGCCCCTGAAGATCAAGAGAAGACCACTTTCACTTGTCCATTTGGCACTTTTGCATACCGGCGCATGCCATTCGGACTTTGCAATGCCCCGGCCACATTCCAATGATGCATGATGAGCATATTCTCGGAATATGTTGAGCTATTTATGGAAGTCTTTATGGATGATTTTACAATCCATGGAGACTCATTTGATTCATGCCTACTTCATCTATCTCTTGTTTTGAAGAGTTGTTTAGAATCAAATCTTGTTCTAAACTCTGAAAAATGTCACTTTATGGTGGAGGAAGGAATTGTCCTAGGCCATGTGATTTCATCCAAAGGAATAGAGGTGGACAAAGCAAAAGTGGAGGTTATCCAATCACTACCTTATCCTACCACCGTTAAGGAGATACGATCATTCCTTGGACATGCAGGTTTCTACAGGAGATTCATCAAAGATTTCTCAAAGATTGCATCTCCTTTATGCACACTTTTGCAAAAAGAGGTGGAGTTCATATTCTCCGAGGACTGCAAGAAAGCCTTCAATGCTTTGAAGGAGAAATTAATAACCGCACCTATCATCCAAGTCCCGGATTGGTCTCTTCCCTTTGAGATCATGTGTGATGCTAGTGACTATGCGGTCGGGGCCGTTTTGGGCCAAAAGGTGGGAAGAGCATCTCATGTGATCTATTATGAATCCACCACACTCAATGATGCCCAACGCAACTACGCCACAACCGAAAAAGAAATGTTGGCCGTCGTTTATGCGCTCGAAAAATTCAGGTCATATTTACTTGGTACCAAAGTGATCATTTACACTGATCATGCGGCTATTAGGTTTTTGATGACAAAGAAAGAGGCCAAACCACGGCTGATTCGATGGATACTACTCCTGAGCGAGTTTGATGTTGAGATCAAGGACAAGAAAGGCATGGAGAACTTGGTGGCCGATCACTTGAGCCGTTTGGTCTTGGGTGAAGGAAACAATCATATCAAAGATGATATCCGAGGCGAATTTCCCGATGAGACCCTTTTCTCCCTTAAGGAAATTCGTCCTTGGTACGCTCACATTGTTAATTTCCTTGTTCTAAACAGGTTTCCACCAAGCTTCTCTAAAGCTCAAAGAGAGAAACTCCAGCATGATGCAAAGCAATACGTATGGGATGAACCATACTTATGGAAACATTGCAAAGATCAGGTCATTCGAAGGTGCATTCCCGAAACAGAAATTGCATCCATACTTGCTTTTTGTCACTCACATGCATGTGGTGGCCACTTTGGAGGAAAACGAACATCCATGAAGGTATTTGAATGTGGTTTTTGGTGGCCAAGCTTATTTCGAGATGCTCATGTCTATTGTCAATCTTGTGATAATTGCCAACGCATGGGCAACATCTCTCGAAAGCACGAGATGCCACAAGTTCCTATGCTCTACGTGGAGATCTTTGATGTGTGGGGAATAGATTTCATGGGACCTTTTCCTAATTCCCGTGGAAATCTATACATTCTATTGGCGGTAGATTACGTATCCAAATGGGTGGAAGCAAAAGCCACAAAGACCGATGATGCCAAAGCGGTGACTGAATTCCTCAAAACCCGCATCTTCTCAAGGTTTGGGGTACCACGCATCTTGATAAGCGACAGAGGCACTCACTTCTACAACAAAACTGTGAGTACCTTGTTAAAAAAATATGGCGTCACACATAAACTCTCCACCGCCTACCACCCACAGACAAACGGTCAAGCTGAGGTATCAAACAGAGAGCTGAAATCTATTCTTCAAAAGACAGTAAATCCAAACCGTAAGGATTGGAGCCTGCGCATGGATGATGCCTTATGGGCATACAGGACCGCCTTCAAAACCCCAATTGGAATGTCACCTTATAGACTCGTGTTCGGTAAGGCCTGTCATCTTCCGGTCGAACTCGAACACAAGTCTTATTGGGCGGTCAAAACATTCAATCTCGACATGGCTAAAGCGGGAGAGCAAAGGAAGCTACAACTCCGAGAACTAGAAGAGCTTCGATTGGAGTCCTATGAGAATGTCGCCATCTACAAGGAAAAGACGAAGGTATGGCATGACAAAATGATAATAAGAAAGGATTTCCAAGTTGGAGACAAAGTCCTTCTTTTTCTCTCACGCCTTCTCCTTTTCCCCGGAAAATTGAGATCACGATGGGAAGGACCATTCGAGGTGGTCAAAGTCTACACCCATGGCGCAGTGGAAATAAAAAGCCTCGACACCGGAAAAATCCTCAAGGTTAATGGACATCAACTCAAACCATTCCTTGAAGGTTTCCAGAAAGAAAGCATTGAATGCATGGATCTCATCGATCCAATATTTGAAGAATGAACACAACAATGGCGTCGTGCCGCGACGTTAACTAAGACGCTTCTTGGGAGGCAACCCAAGCAAGGTACATTTTTTCTTTTATTGTTAACCCCCCTGTCAATGTTTTCAATTATGTTTTTGAGAGGTTGAGAGAGAGGGCACTAATCAGGTTTGTGGAGGAAATTACAAAAAAAAATGCAGGTTTTGGAACATCTGGGGACATACCCGATCGAGTATCACCTTATACTCGGTCGGGTATGACCAAAAAGAGAAGGGATCGGGCATTACTCGATCAAGGAAGCACTCAAAAAATTGAAAAACAAGGAATACCCGATCGGGTATCACTATACACCCGGTCGGGTATGTATAGAAATGCTAAAATTGAAGGAGACTGACTCCCACACTCGACCGAGTACCTGCTTCAAAAATAGAAAAAAGCACATACCCGATCGAGTATGGAGGAATACTCGACCGGGTACAGGAGACAGGCTGCTCACAAAGTTCATTTTCCAGACATACTCGACCGGGTAACCACACACTACCCGATCGAGTACAGGAGGCAGGCCGCTAAAATACTAAACTTTCCAGCAATACTCGACCGGGTAACCATACACTACCCGATCGAGTACAGGAGGCAGACTGCTCAAAAAGGCCACTTTCCAGACATACCCGACCGAGTACCAGCACATACTCGATCGGGTATACGGGTATTATAACCCCAAATCAGCCCCAAAACACTTCTTTTCCGAATTTCCAACCTTATCTCGAACAAAAACGCCCAAACCCCCATTTTTACACCTTCTCTCTACCATATCTCTTCCAAATCTTCACCAAATCCTCCCATTTCAACACCAAAACACTCCCCTCATCCTCCTCTACACATTCATACTCACCAATCCCATTCTCCCCCAATTTTCAGAGGTCCGAAAAACCCTACCCCCACCTTCCAATTTCGGTTTTCAAAGGCCAAATTCACTCCAAATGGCTCCAAGGAAAGAGAAAGGGCAAAGCTCAAGCACTAGGGCATCCATCCCGGGCTACGAGGACATCCTCTTCGTGGACAACGAACACCGCACACGCTTCATGTCCACAATTGAAAGGCAATTTAAACCTTCCCGCTTTTTATGCCATGATGCCCTAAAGGAATTAGGAGTGTACAAAATGATGAAGAAATTTTTTCATGAGTTGAGAATGGATAAAATTTTCAAAATGCAATACAACTCAAATGAAAAAATTATCTATGAATTCCTAAGCTCTGTGCACTTTGAGAACAATGAAGAGGACTTTAGGGATGATAAACTCAGGTTTCGATTGTTTAATCACAATCACACCATCACAAAACTTGAGTTCGCCGAACACTTTGGTATTCCGGTCCCGTACCAAAAATCTATATCCGACAATACCGCCTTCGGCCACACCCTATGGACCAAGATGACCGGGGAGACTAAATTTAGCTCCTCCCAACTCTACATTAGTCATGTCCAACATCCCGTCCTACACCTCTTTTTGAAATTCCTTGCCAATTCCTTGCTTGGACGTCCCAACAACCATCATACAAGGATGGGGGATGTATGCCTCATCTCGGTAGCCTTATTCCGTACCCACGTGGATTTCAACCTATGTAATCTCATGTGGGCACATCTAAAAAAAGAGAGCGTGGCAAAGGGTGCTATTGTAGTGGGCGGGGTGATTATGCACTTGGCCACAAAGTTCGGGTATACGGATGACTCTCCTATACCCGACTACTGTTTGATGAACATATCTTGGCTGGGCCACTCGGGCTGTACATCTTTTTCACACACCGTTTATGGCGAAGAAAGGCCCAGAAATATGTACAACTGGCACATCCACCCCAAACCCCTCAAATACTTCCTCTTGCCCAACCCAGAACTCCCCAACTCCACTTCAAAACAGGAAGAGCGGAGCAACATTACCTCTTCCCAAACGCCCTCCCACCACATCTCCAGGAACCGGAACAGGAACCTCCCCATAACCAACCCGATTACGAGCCCTATGAGCAACTCCATAGCCATCCAACCATGAGCCAGGACTTCCCAGAACAGAACCAAAACCCTCCACCATCCGACTTCTTTCAACAACTTCTGGAGGGTCCACAACAACTTCTTTCGGGAATAGCCCAAATGGACAACCGGCTCAACCGATTAGAGGATGAGCAAAGAGCCGGTTTTCAAAGATTGGAGGATGAGCAAAGAGCCGGCTTTCAACGAATGGAGGAGCTCAGGGAGGCCGATAGACATCGGTATGAGGAAGACCAACATAGGTTCTACGGACCTATGTACTCTTATATGGCACAACAGGGATCCTTCCATACCATGGCGAACCCCCTCCACCACCCTCATGGTATGACCCCACTCATTGGGGTAACTTTGGAGGATCAGGCTCCGGGGGTGGAGGGTACGACGGCGGAGATGGCAGGACACCTACATGGGAGATGGTGGCCAAGGGAGCGGCTTTGGAGGGAGCTACTACGGGAGGAGAAGGCAGGCACTAGGGACAGTGGTTGATTCAAGTGCGGGGGAGACACTCATGATGGTATGTAATTTTCATTTCTACCTAGCACTATGCATGTAATTCTTTTGAACTTTTGCACAAAAAAAAACCAAAAAAAAAAATAAACAAAAGAAAATAAATGCTAGTTAGGTTGAAAACCCAACAAAATGGGCAATCTAAGCAAAAAAGGCTTATAAAAAAAATGAGTGAGTTGGAGAGAATGGAAAATGAAAAGAGGTGCTAGGATGAAAACCTGAAAAGGCTCCTAGGCAAAATGAGAGATATGAGAGAAATGTTTGTTCTTGCAGGCACTCATTGTATCCTTATGAAGAATAAGAAGATTCAAGATAAAGAAGAAGAGAGGAGGAGAAAAGAAGATAACACTAGGAGGCCATTAAACCCAAGATGCTCTTTTGTAATTTGAGTTTAAAACTCATTTTTCTTTATCATCCTTGGTGGTCTTTGTGTTTGTATTGTGTTTTTGTTGAACTGTGGAACTTTTGGACAAACATTGACACTTGTAAACATTTGATCTTACTCGAGACGAGTAAAGGTTTAAGTGTGGGGGAGTTGATACGTTCGTAATTTCCATATTTATGTTTACGTTTTTAATTAGTTTTGCTTGACTTTTACTTTGGAAATTACACACTTTTGGTGTAAATAGATTAGATTGTTAAATTCTTGTAAATAGGTTAGATTAGATATATTCTGAGCTCAAGCAGGTTTTGGTCACTCAAAGCACAGTTGGTGAACCCAAAAAGTGAAAAGAAGGTGCAAAAGTTCAAAGACAAAAGAAGATCTTGAATTTTGGTCTATACTCGGTCGAGTATTAGCTATACTCGATCGGGTATTAGGTTGGAACTTCAAATCGGATCAGATCCGAAGACAAGGGAACATGCAGGGAAGATTTCGGCCACGATTTTATGTCTATACCCGATCGGGTAGACCGACATACCCGATCGGGTATGCCTTTGAATTGCAAACGAAGATCGGTCGAGTATGGTCCGAATACCATTTTCTAAGCATACTCGACCGGGTATTCATATATACTCGATCGGGTATACTCTTAGAAAATAGCCTGAAACCGGTCGAGTATGCCTCGGATCGAGTGTTACACACATACTCGATCGGGTACCATGTATATACCCGATCGAGTACCCGAATTAGCTCCCAAAAGCCTATAAATACACCTCCTTTCCTTCACAAAAAGATATCCAATCCCTTTGTACATCTAAGCTCAGTATAGAATAGCTCTTTCTTTATATTTTCATCATGTTTAGTCTCCAAATGAGGAGCTAAACTCTTCCATCTTGGTTTTGCTACTTTGAAGCTTAATGAATTTGTAAGTTGTGAGTTATTTTCTTTAATCTTCTTCCTTGAATATTAATTCTTTCTTTCAAAATACTATCTCTATATCAAAGTTGGGGAGTGTTACTAAGATGACAATTAGTTAACATCTTGACATTGGTTATAGTAATAGCTATTTCTTCCTCTATGATAATATTGGGGAGTGTTACTAAGATGACAATTAGTTAACATCTTGATATTAATCATAGTAGGATTCATATATTTTAATATTCTTCCTTGAGTATTAATTAATTCCTATTCATATTTCATGTTAATATCTTAAACATTAATTAAAGTATCAACTAGTATTGTTTCTCATATTAATTATTACTAGAATCAATCGGTTAATACGCTTGTTATTAATCCGGTTCTTTCAACGGTAGTAAACTTGGAATATTAATGCATGCATCTCATGGTTAATATGCCAAGGGGAATTAATTATATTGATTAAACCAATAAACCGCTTGTGTTGAGGTTATCAATCTCAATCGTTTTCATCTTAAGTTTATTGCTACTATCAAGTTAATATACGGCGCTTGTTCTATATTGACTCGATAGTAAGTTTTATTAATGAACACATCTCATTATTAATAACTACCCTCGATGAACTGGATATACTCCTCGATTGAGTATTCGAGAGGAAGATAGTCAAAGATATAACCGGGATCGACGAACATTTCATTAAGTGGATAAAAGCAAAACCAAGTCCCCATCTCATTGAATTAAACTCATATAGGTCGTTTATCTTAGTGTTATTAAACCAAACAAATCTAAACCCCCCTTGTTACTATTTATACAAAAGAAAAAGTATTCCTTTCCCTGTGGATACGAACCTTACTACACTATACTACGTATTAGTGTCGTATTGATTAATTATTTTGAGTGCACCTAACGACGAGTGCACGTCATTGTACTTGTGCAATATTTTGGTTGTAGGAACCACATGAAGGGTTTGAGCGTTGTAGGGGTGAAATCTGAGCATTTTGAAGTGTCTCGAGAGCATAAATGGATGATTTGAAGATCCCGGGGACCAAGCGGAGCACAAGGAAGTAAGAAACGTAGTTGTCGGAGGTGTTTCGGGGGAGTCAGCCTCAGGAACGCCATTTGGAACGACGTTCCCCCAGCGTTCCCCCGTTTTGTACCATCGGATTTTTAATTTAATGTCCCAGGTGTGGGAACCCTGGCAGGGAACGACGTTCCTGTCAGCGTTCCCTCAAGAACGACGTCCCTTCTGCGTTCCTCTCAGTGTCGAACTCTCTGCCAGCCGCCTGTTTTAATTTGTAAAGGTAGGAACGCCTAAAAGGAACATCGTTCCCTCTAGCGTTCCCTCCGGCATTCCTCGTCAAGGGAAGGCGTTCCTGCCCAGCGTTCCCCCATTTCCCCATATGTATAAATAGCACCCTTTGTTCGAACTTTCACAGTTTTTTGGACGAGTTTTCTTCTTGCAAACCCTAATTTTGGTTGTAAGCTTCCTTAAACTCATTTGCACTTCATTTCTTAATATTATTTGCATCAAATCTTGAATCTAGTTTCATTTAATCCATTAGATTGCATCATTGTCATTTTTCTACCACCTTATCCATTTATCTCACTTCATGTCTATGTCTAATATTTATTTTATGAATATGAAATCTAGCATGAGTGAGTAGTTGGATTAGGGATTGGGGGTGTTTGAGGAACATCCAACCATTTGATGTGTTAGGTTTTGGGGTTTGATTTCGGGCAACTTGAGAAATATATTATGCACACAATGTGTTTGTGAAAATGCCTCTTTGTATTTCTAAGACTTTGATGGCCACAATGTTCTTAGATGTTGGTTTGGACTCTCAAGGAGACTTGTAGGGTTCTTTTGGACACATTCACACACACACTACCCCTCTCCATGAGAATGGGAGAAGGTAGGGGAAAAAATGGTTGTTGCTCCTCTTTGCATGACTTTGGATTTTTATTGGACCATGAGAATGGCCAATAGGAGCCTTTAGTATCCCCTTGACCATGAGAGTGGCAAGGAAACTTGTACCTATCCCTTTGTTGCATGATATATTCTCAAGTATCCCATTTTGACCCCTTATCCTTAATCATAGGTTGTTGCTTGTATGCCCCCGCTTCCCTTCTAGTTTATTCGTGATCTATTTTCATTGCAAGTTAGTTGTTCTCCTAAATCAAACATACATCGACTTGGCTAGCTTACATGTTAGATTTCTAGATTGATTTCACACTTGATTTTCCATATACACCGTCCCGTGAGACGATATCCGACACTTCCATATCCCGACACCCGATGAGCATTATTGTGAAAATAACTCGTCAGCATCCCACTAGATTGAAGGCATTGATGCGCAATCGTGCAGGTTATTAATTTGTATCTCTATTTATAATGTTTTAATTAAATTTATTGCGTACTTATTTATTTTTTGTTTCATGGCAATTGGCAGCTAACAACCCACTACCTATCCAATTTAATTCCAAGGGGAAAGCAATGGGCCCAAACAGGAAGTTGTTTGTTAGTTTTGTGGCCCTCCAAGGAAGGATGAGAGCTTGTATAACAATCTCAGAATGGGAAGCGGTTGAGGAGGGAGTTAAGAACAAGATCTGGGAAGCTATTCGGGTAAATGAGTTTTCTTTTCGTTGAAATTGATTGAGAGGGAATGACTTGTAAAGTTTTACTTATCTCAATTTTTGTTTGTGTGTGTTTATTTATGGTATGACTTGTAAAGTTTTACTTATCTCAATTTTTGGTACTTGAATGCACTGCAGCTCACCTTTGAGGTCCCTAATGATCCAGTACTGAGGAGAAAATGGATTGGATATGCTGGTAGCCAGTGGACGGGTTTCAAGACTTTTTTGACGTCAACATACATAGTTGGCGCTCGACGTGGGCAAGATCCAACGGTGAAGTATAAGTGGATTGAAACTTGAAAAAAGTTTGTCCTAAGCCGACAAGACCCTGTTTTTCTGGTAAGTTAAACTATTTTAATAATTGGTAAATAATGTATGTAGCTTCTCATGTAAACTATTATGCGTTGTTCTTTTTTATATAGGAGCGTCGAAGGAAAGCACAAGAAATTAAGGCACGTAATGATTGTCCCCACAGGTTATCACGGGGTGGGTACGAGTTGCTTGAAGAAAAGATGATGGCAGAAAAATTGGAACTGCAACAAAAAGCCTCAAAGTTTGATTCTTCTGTGGTTTTAAAACCTCCTTCTCCCATCAAGTGCCATCATAAATGGAAGAGAGGTCGTATTAGATCAAATGGCCAATATACCTTCAAGAGGGCGCGTGAAATTGCAGAAAAAATCGTAAATCTGAATCTTAGTAGTATCATGAATAATGTAAATATAAGATTTGCCTTTAACAACTCATAACATCTAAGCATTCTTTATTTGCAGAGTACCTTAGAGCAAGAGGAAAATCAAGGAACATTTGTTCCCCTATGTCGTGATGACATCTTAACAACAGCTATTGGATGCCCTGAGCACCCTGGACGTGTACGTGCTGTTGGAGCAGGTGTTTGCATTCATGAAGTATTTCCAAACACAGGACGCCAAAGAAACACGTCCCCGGCTTTAACCAAGCATGATGTTGATATGATAAAAAAAGAAGTGCGAGATGAGGTGACACAAGAGGTGACTGAAAATTTGTCAAAGATGTTCGACCAGAAACTTCGGGATGAGCTGAACTTCGGGATGAGCTGCTGAAGCTGGGATTTAACACACATCAAGAACCACATAGAGAGGCATGTCCCAGTCCTTCTCCCGCACATGTGAGTACAAAGGGAAGCAATGCTCCACTTGATTTGTCTGGGTCTGAGTGTGATGATGATGACGATGTGTCTAGGTCTGAGTCTGATCATGATGATGAGATTTCTCGCCTTTATGTCGACACTCATTTTCACCTAGTAGCCATGGCAAAGGTACTCTTATTTAAAATAAAAAACCTGGAAAAACTGGTTCTAAACGACAGCATCTGTACCTTCAATTTTTATACATTATCAATTAAATGAGTAAAGTATGCTAAAAAGTATGTTTTGCTATATTTAGGTACACAACCTGGGCGCTACTATACACCATCAAAAAATAGCTGCAGATTTTGTTAGGGTGGAGATGGTAGAGGTTATATATGCACTTGCATTGGTTCCTATTGCCACGGATGAAGTTCAAAATGTGGAACAGGCTCCCAAACAATTCATTCAGTGGCCAAGACGATTAATTAATCCCAATAATAAGAATAAACGAGCATACCAAAAGGTGATAAATGACACTATTTTTCACTCTTCTTTACATGAAATCCTTATTATGCAAGGTAAGATGTCGGATCGGATCACCACCTTCAAACAATAATAAATCATTGAGCAATGCCACAACCAGTGTGGGCTTCTGACCCATTGTGAATCAGACTTGCTATTTTGGGCTTATAATTCAACATGGATCAATACTAGTTAGCTTTAGAGAAGAAAAAGAAATACTAGTAAATTATTGGATGTTTGCCTTTCTATTTTGGGATTTATCATCAACGAGAAGCACATGTGTACAATTGTTAGAATAATTTGTTGAATGCTTGATTACAGGGTAATAGATTACAACAACATATAAAAAACTGCCATCTGACAAATGTTCCTTTCAATTTTCCTTTCGAGACTGCAATATTGGTGCAATTCTCACTAGAGTTTCACTATTTTTCACTCTTCTTGTTGTTTAGGATGATGACAATGACCAAGTGGGTGTTCCCAATGAGCGCAAGGATCCAATATCGCGCTTGCTGGAAATGACACAAAATCGTCCCCGCAACAGTGACACTATATTTAGTGTCGCTAGCCCCCACTTTCCCCGACGCTTTTTAAGTGTCGCAAAAAGTTTCAGCGACACTAAATTAGTGTTACTATAGGCCCTTTTTCTACTAGTGTCTCCCTTTTTCTTAGTTCAGAGGAGATAATGGATATGTGTTTGGGTAATCAAATGCTCGGTACAGAGGTTATGCGAGTCTGGATAATGTGAGTTGAGATTTATTATGTTCTGAATGTCAGGATCTGCTTTTATTTATACCCTATTGTTGGATTAGAAAGGAAAAACTAATCACTCAAACTTCAAAAATTTAAAGTTAATTCTTTTTCCCTTTTGGTATTGATAAATCTAGAAATGTATAGCTGGTTGCAGAAACAAAGTAAATATGGAAGTACAAAAAACTGGAAACAAGGAAATAGAAACAAACAATATAATTAATAGCTCCTTACAGGTTCAATAGGACTTTTTGTAGAGAAACTATTACCAAGAGAATGATCAAAATGTGTCTATAGAAAGTAGATCCCTGCAGCTCACTGGTTCTATGTAATCTTCTGGGGTCATCACTTTTCAAAGTCCATGTTATTCTTAAATTACATGTAGGTACTTGCACAAATTGTGTACTAAAAAGAACAACAAATACTTGTATGGATTCTTTGACCCTCACACCATTCAAGATGTGGGAAACAAGCGTGATGAAACCCAAACCTACATACTAACTCACCTCAAGGACAACAAGGACTGCTATCTAGTTCCATATTACTATCCGTAAGTACAAGCTTATGATTAAACTTAAGTAATATCTAAATAATCATCACAAATTGTTTCAATTTCAGTAACCACTGGCAGCTATTCGTATTGTGTCCTAAGCAAAACCTTACTGTGTTCTTGTGCTCTTTGGGGAATAAGCCAAAGACAAATGTGAAGAGTGTTTTTGATATGTAAGGATATAATTTTGTTATATCAAATGTGTACTTTTGATTAAGCCATTTCTTGTTTCTATAGCATCACTTATTTCTTTTTTTTTTATCTAGGACAATGCAAGCACATCAAATAACAAAAAATACGAGGAATTTCAAACCAAGATGGATTAAGTCGATTGTAAGCATACTTTTTTCATACTTATCATCAGTTGTATAAGTTTTTATAATTTTATGCACTTGGGTTGATTCTGAATCATTTTAAGAAGCACATTATAATCATCATGTCATGTGTAGATTATGAATCATATTAAGAATCAGATTTTGAGTATGGAGTGGGCTATTTCATTTTATATATGGATGTTAATGGTAGAGTTTTAGCAGGAAAATATAATGAGCATGGAGATAGGTATTTCATTAAGAATCAGATTTTGAGTATGGAGTGGGCTATTTCATTTTGCATTTGTTTTGTAATGGCAGTGGTAAACATAACGAGTAATAGTAGATTAGTAGTGAATACAAGTTAAAATATAACATTTCTTTTTTTTTATGATTATTCCTAGAACAAAATAATGGATAACAGTAGCTTGTATTAAAAGCGCGCTATAACTTCTCCGTTTGCCCTTAGAACACATGGTGGAGGAACATGCAAATCACATATTGTACGAAGATAATAATTTGTATTAGTTGACTTCAGAGCTAACCCTCAAAACTAAGGAGACAATCACTTGCTTCTCGAATTCCCTTTGTCGAGATGGGTATCAGCTGGCCGCATGTATACCTTCTTACTCTCTGTGTCCCAAATATTTAGCACGGATAAAAGAAGTGAAGCTGCTATTATGGATGTCGTTAGAGAGAGTTTCCCAGATCACCTAATTCTTGGAGAGGAAGGGGGATTTACTGGGGATGCATCTTCTGACTATCTCTGGTGTATTGACCCCTTAGATGGGACCACAAACTTTGCACACAGCTACCCAAGCTTTGCCGTATCAGTGGCAGTTCTTTTTAGAGGAAAACCGGCTGCTTCTACTGTGGTAGAGTTTGTCGGTGGCCCTATGTGCTGGAACAATCGCATATACACTGCAGCTGTTGGCAGAGGTGCATATGCTAACGGTCAAAAGACAAATGTCAGCAACACTGATAAGGTGGACCAATCGCTCTTAGTGATGGGATTTGGTTATGATCATGATGATTCCTGGGCTGCCAATATGGAATTATTCAAGGGATTTAGTGGCACCAGCAGGGATGTGAGAAGGCTAGGTGCTGCAGCAGTAGACTTGTGCCATGTGGCTCTCGGAATAGTTGAAGCCTATTGGGAATATCGTCTAAAACCATGGGATGTAGCTGCCGGAGTTCGGATAGTAGAAGAGGTTGGGGGTTAGTGTCTTGCATGGATGGTGAAATTTTTCGTGTATTTGATAGGTCCATCCCAAATGGTGCCCTTTATGATAAGCTTATTGACAAAATTGGTCCTGAAACAGATAATCTGAAAAGCGAAGGAGTTGACTTCTCGCCCTGGTTCAAACCTGAAGCTTATAAAACTGATTTTTGAGAAACATATTTGTTTGCTGCTATGTGAATAGGATTTAGATGACAGCAGAATGGAATCTCACCCAGTAGTGACACAAAAAAAATGTGTTACTGTCGTTTAAGTGTGTTGGTTTAAAGTTTACGAGCTACCAATAAATTAAAGTAAGCAATGGATTACTTACAAAAAAGTTTAGTGTATTCTTTTTCGGCAGTCAGTTGTACCAGTCTGTATGAGTGATTAGATGGCTCATGCTCGTTAAAATACATTGACTAGATTATATCGGCTGTGTAGTCAGTGGAGGACCTAGGGAGGGGCCTAGGGGGGCAAGTGTCCCCCGCTTTCGTCCAGTAATTTTACTACTAGTACTTAGAGTAAAATTAGTGTCCCGCTTCCAGCCAAGAATTTCACTACTAGTGTGCCCCTACTCTGACAAATCTCTAGGTCCGCCACTGTGTGTAGTAAATACCAATTTTGTATATTGTTATTTATATTGACTAGATTTGGGAAAAATTGTGTGATTACACTAAATTAAGTGACTTTATTTTTATGCTACAATATAATATTTACATGTACATCTATTTGCAGTCTAGAATGCAAAGGGGTACCTATGAGTCTGGGTATTATGTTATGAGGCATATGGAGACTATAATATCTGCAGTCGTTGTTGATTCACGGATTGAGGTGATGAAATTTTAGATTTGTGCTTCATCAAATTTATACTTATTACGCTTGTATTATGTTTTTTACGACAAAGTTTTACTTCTATTCTTCATATTCATATTTTATTGAATGTGTTTCTATTTTTATTTTTGATTTGAAGACATTCAATGTTCAAGAGTCATTTAGTCCACAAGATATTACCAAGACAAGAGAGCATTGGGCGTCATTTGTTTGTGACACCACAAGCAGTACGGGTTGCTATTAACAAATATGGTTCTCTTTTATGTCTAGAATGAATGGTGTTGGTTTCATGTGAAACTTTGTACTTTTGACTTGCAAGAACCTTTGAAACTTTTGTAGTTTTTGCTTGCATGAACTTGTGAAACTTTGCAGTTTTGGCTTGGATTGATTGGTGCTAGTACTATGTGGAACACTGAATTTTGCTACAATTATCAATATATTTGCCATAACTCTCATTTAATGATCTCATTATACTGATACCGTATATAAAAAAAAATTATAGTATGCATAATCTATTGGATATATGGTTTAACCCATATAAAAAAGATTTTATATGGGGTATTATTGGACTAACACAGAAAACATTCGATAACGGTTAAATTTGATAATGGTTTAACCCATATAAAAAGGATTTTATATGGGGTATTACTGGACTGACACGGAAACATTCGATAACGGTTAAATTTGTAACCGTTATAAAACACATTCTATAACGGGTACGACTACCCCACACGAAAAGTGAAAGTCATTTTTGTAGAAGTTGAGTGGTAGGGGCTTCTCAAAAAATACTTGTGCTTCTTTTAATTTTATTCCTAAAATACCCTTATCAATAATCAATCATTCAAACCCTAAGCTACCACACCACATCCTTTTTCTCTTGTTCAGGTCTTAGATTAACTAGATTATATTGTTCCATACTAAGTGACAAGGTATTTTTTATAAATATTGTTCGAATATAAGCATAAACTGGTACAATAGAAAAAGTAAGTTTGGAGTTACTTTTATGGCTGTATTGGCTGAGGTTACTGTAGAGGATCATTTTAACAATTTTTCATATAGTTTTTTATTTAATTTATTAATAACAAATATTTTCAACATAATTTTTTCATGAATCAACAGAATCAGCCAATACAACCACTTCAGCCAGAACTTCATAAATTTCAGCAGAATTTACCAATTCCGCCAATTCTAGACTTACCAAACGGGCTCTTAGTTTATCAGCCTTATTATATATTATTTGCTCAAACACTTGACTTTTGATTTCCCGCACGAAAAGTGTAATGATCCAAATAAGTAAAGTTGCAATTACTTTTCAGAATGAATTGGCTGAAGTTTTGTAGATGATCAATTTAGCTATTTTTTCATATAATTGTTCCATTATTTTTTTTATAATCTATTTTTTTTTTTAATAATTTAACCAATTCAACCACTTCATTCAAAATTTCATCAATTGCAGCATATCAGCCAATTAAGCCACTTTTAGTAATGTTAAGCAGGCTATTATGTTACACATATTATTTGGGAGATTTCCCAAAATATAGGAGTCAATAGAGTTTGGAATTCCAAAATATGACAACTATATTTTTATTCCCGAAATATCACCTTCCTCATTTCACAATGTTAGGAGGTTTTGGGATTGATTCTACATCTGTTTCTTTTTTGAAAACAGAAGAAAAATCAGAATCAATTTTTCAGAAGTTGATCTCCTCCATCTTTTAAAAAATTGTTTCTAAGAGCAATTTGAAGCACGCAGAAGTAGTTCGTCACTTTCACCCTTTCCGAGATGAAGATAATACACATTAACGGCGTGTAATTTAACATTTTTCTTTAAAAATTAAATTCAAAGAAAAATGTGTAATTGAAATAGTAGTAATCTAATACACGCCCATAGTTTGATATCCAAACTAAAACCTTCTATCAACATACACCAAAATAATCTATCAAAGTAAGGGGTGTTTGGATATGATTTTACATATTGATTCTTCTCCCTTAAGTAGTACTGTGAAGCAGAACCAATTTATTGGGTGTTTGGGTCTTATTTTAAAACTGAAAATCAGTTTTGTAGAAGTTAAGTAGTAGCGGGTTCTCAAAAAATACTTCTGCTTCTTTTATTTTTATTCCTAAAATACCCTTATCAATAATCAATCCTTCAAACCCTAAGCTACGCACACCGCATCCTTTTTCTCTTGTTCCGGTCTTAGATTAACTAGATTATATTATTCCATGCAAAGCGAAGAGGGATTTTTTATAAATATTGATTGAATATAAGCATAAACTGGTATAATTGGGAAAATTGTCAAACAAGTCCCCATAGTATGTCAAAAAAGTCAATTGAGTCCCCGAACCAAAAAAACTGAAAAGTGGACTAAAAACTGAAACTGGACTGTCTCTTTTACAACTTCCTCCCTTCCACTTACCTTCTGGCCTCACGCTTTTCAAACTGCTGTCTATCTTATCAATCGTATGCCTACCCCGTTACTAAATTATTACATTCCATATGCTCTTTCCTATTCCAAGAAATTCCTAATTATAAAAAACTACAACCTTTTGGATGCCCTTGTTGTCCGTGGTTACGTCCTTATAACACACACAAACTCCAACCTCGGTCTACTTCGTGTATTTTTTTGGGATATTCAGTCTCCCAACCAGTCTACAAGTGCTTTGATATCACATCTCACCGCTTGTTCTTATCTCGACATGTCAAATTCGTACATATTTATCCATCCAGCTCCTCCCAAATAACTCCAACTCCTATCCATTTCATTTGCACATTATAAGTTGTACAAATTTCTCAAAGTGAAAAAATCTTGTTGAAAAAATACCCAAACTAATGCTTGAGAAGTGCTCTAAGGATAGATCAAGTTTTTGAACAAGGGAAGTGTGTCAAACCCACTCAAAGATGAATTGCTCAAGCACTCGCCAAACATTTAGCAAGCAAGAAACTCGTTTAATAGATGGTTATTGGAAGGGGGCAAGAGTTGATTGCTTGCTATTTGAATGTGAGGTCTCGTTCAATGGCGACACTGTTTTGGATTGATTGCTTGCTATTTGAATGTGAGGTCTCGTTCAATGGGGACACTATTTTTTCATCCGGAAATTAGAATCCTCAAGTGTATGATATGCCCAAACCTGTTTTTGATGATCTCCCAATGTTAACATAATGAAACATTTTAATATTTAGGAGCAGCATTCGTTTTAACCTCGCAGAAAAAGAAGTGCTCAACCAAAAAAGATTTTTATGTTACGAAATGTGTGATTCTAAGAGAATAGGAAATTTTAAAAGGAGAAGCAGAGTCACTGAGCCTTCCATGTGGCTGAATGAGTGCAAAAATTTGAACCGACTTTGGTGGGGTGCGCCGGGCCATGGCAGCAGTGCAACTCCAAGGCGACGCCCGAAGTCCCAGACAGCACGCTGCCTTAGCGGGCCTTCCCCCTTAAAAAATTCAGTTAATATCGTGTGGGCTAATAGCCCACATATCAGATATTAAACTGATAAGAACAGATACTACACTTGATCTTAGCCAAAAGGCCGAGAAAGGTATGCTTTCAATGTTGGATGAGCCGCTCCTCTTATAGCCTTCTCGAGGCCCGCATTCTCTCTGCCTAAACGGTGTGGGACGGAACACCATCACCATCACCATAATAACAATTACACAAAACGTACGGCTGTGGATATCATACATGCGCAGGAGCATATCATACTTCATACATCATCATATATTATCTATGTACACATGATCGATCATCCCTTGCTTGTAATAAACATATTATAACTTCTTTTCTAGACTTCTACTATATAGTTAACTCAATTTCTATCTCACTCTTTTTTTCTCACAAATAAATGTTTCCTTTTTGTTTCCATTTTCACCTTCTTAAATGCCCAATATGAATGTTGATGATGTTATTGTAATTTATATTAGGAAGAGGTGAAACTAAAACCCAACGTAATAATATCTTTTATTATTATTATTATTATTATTATTATTATTATTATATACTCTCTCCGTCCCGCTAAGATTGTCTCATTTTACCTTTTCGGAAAATTCCACTAAGATTGTCTCATACCATATTTGATAAAGTTTCTGTGGTTCTTAATCATTCTTACTGTATCAATTCAATATCAACAACATAAACTCACTTTTCTTAATAATCGCGTCATCTTCTCCCGTCCCAATGTTAGTGGGACGGAGGTAGTATAAAAAAAGGGGACCGGCTGGGAATAACTGTTCCCGCTAGTCACCTAGGTCACCTTTTTGTCACAAAAACGTCATCATCCTATTATGCCGCTAACAATTTCATTTGGCATTTTCTCTAAGTAGTTTCCTTCTCGACGTTTCACTTGGCTTCAACAAGCACGTAACTATGACCGTGTTTAATGGAGCGGTAGTAATTGGCATGATGCACTAGAGTGGTAGTAACTGAAACGTAGTGGTTATTGAGCGGTAGTAACTGTGACGGTAGTAACTGAGCGGAAGTAACTGGGGCGCTAATAATTGGGACGTTGGTCACCGGAACGGTAGTAACTGGAACGATGATCACTGAGCCGGTAGTAACTGCAACCATTTTTACATAAATTATAGTTTAAGGAATTAAACATTTTGCATTGTGAGATAATTTTAAAATCAAAGGAAGCATGAAATAATTTTTAAATCAGAAGAAGCATTAATGATTAGAGGGCATTATTACCGATACTCTTATGGAGTGCAATACTTCGTATTACGGAATGTCGGAATTAAGCAATGCAGAGTGCGGCTGTGCGGATGAGTGTTGTACACTTGAGGAGGGTAATTTAGGGAAATAGGTATTTATTAGTCACATTTTTGGAAACTTAGAGAAAATGTCTCTTTTTTGTCCATGGTCTATATTTTAGTAATGTTGATGTCAAAACCCCCTTTGAAAATTTGCCTTTTTAAAGATTCTTAGTACGTTTTAGAATGAAGTTAGACATGGACACACACTACAATTGTCTAATTCATTGTTTATAAATTTTATAATCAATCTAATATTCTCATAAAACTGAGAGTTCTGTTTAAGCTTCTTACTCGACATTTGATTATAATCTTTTAGTCACATAATTTAACTATTTAACTATATCTATAATACTAACAAGGTGTTGATCTTGCTTTCCCGCCCATGCACCATATATGACAAATCTATACATTAATTGGTGCACACTCAATGACACAAATATAATGGCATACATAGTTTAATCATTAATAATAGTAAAATACATATAAAATAGACTTTAAGTAGACTACATCAAATCGGGCCGGTTCGATGAGACCAAACTAGACTAAATTATGGATTTAGATTCACTATCGCACGACAATGGCAACAAGGGAGTAGAGCTCTGGGATAGCCAAAATTGAATAATGTGGCTAGATATGAACAACATGCACCCTATATGGCTGCCAAAGCCATGCAGAGAATCTAGATCCCTATATGAGAGCATTGATTTTCATACT